GGGGAAGGAGGAGGAGGAGGAGGAGGAGGAGGAAGGATAAGGCGGAGCCAGAGCGGAAAGCGCGGGGTCTGCATGACTGCGGGGGAGCGCCGGGGGTGCGCGGAGGGCTCCCGGGAGAGTCGGGGCCGGCGGGCACGCCCCTCGCCCAAGGGGGAGCCGGTCAGTTCAGGGCCTTTGGAGCAGAGGACGGAGAGAAAAATCCGCCGCCGACATCCCTACGCGTCGGTGGCACTCAGCACGCAGTTTGTGTCTGGGAAACGTAACGAAGTCAAGCCGAGCCTCCCGGACGCTGTGTGCAAACGGAAGGAGTGACGTTGTTGTGCAGTTCGAGGGCCAGGGTGCGCTGTGCACGATGGCACAGCTTTTCAGAGGGCTATGAGCCAGCTAGAAAATTCGGGTTTCAAGGGAACTGTCGAGCTGCTCTATGACAAAAACCAGACCCCATTTCCTTACTGAAGTAAAGGAACTTCATGGGACTTTGGCAGGTGAATAGCAGAGGGTGCTCAGCAGAGGGTGATTGTGTGAGAGTATCGAGTGCACACAGAAAGGAGAGAACAGATCTCCTTTAAACAAGAACAGTAGACAGTATCATAGTCGCTTGGATTGTTGTGTTAGCTGAAAATTGATGTAAGGAGGAGAGCACCTCCTTTTCTTAGTGGGCAAAGAAGTATCAGAGGGAATAGGGTTGGAGGGATCTCCAGAAGCTGTTCTTTATGAAGCTCTCTGATGATGTTAGTTCACAGTGCCTCTTGGCAATCTGTCCCAGTGTCTGTAACGTTTATGTTCTTCGAATTTACATCCCCTGTACTTTCTGTTAAACCCACTGCTTTTATATTACAAGTGAGCACATAGCACAGGTTAATCCTTTTACTGCATCAACTTTTCAACTACACGCAGACTATTGATACATTGCCTTGAATCTTCTGTAATACAGATTTTGTAGTTTCCTCAGGACTTTCTGGATGTTTTCTGGTCATGAAGTTCAGTGCCTAAAACTAGACACAGTATTTTAGCTAAGCATTAGTTTTCTTCATGTCTTGGGTGTGTACATCCACTTAAACATGCTGGCATTGTGGTCGTGCTTTTTTCAACAACATATTTTTATTGACTTGTGTTTGACCTGAGAGCCACTATCACTCCCAGCTGCTCTGCTCCAGACCTTCCCTAAAAGGGAGTGCATTACCACCATTTCTCTTACAGTAGTCAGTGGAAGAAGTTCTCTCATGTCACAATGTCTGAAAAGTCAAATTAGCTCTGTGTAAAACATTTACATAGGATGATACAACATAGTTGGCCCTCCAGTTAGGATACATCCCAACTCTGTTTTAAGACTCTTGCCAAGAAGGCCTTCAGGGCATGTTAATGTGCTTTGTGCCATGTTAACATGAAAAACAAGTCAGCTCTGCATTATAAATAACAATATGAGGGAAAGTGGTCCCTGACTGACATCTCTTTACAAGTTTCCAACACATACACAGGTGAAACTATCCAGCCACTAGTATAGCCCTGTTGTTTCAGTAATGAAAGCTTGTTTCATTATATGGATCCAGCTTGTGGCTTTGCCAGATTAGCTCTGCAGACATAGTAATAAGAATACTACTTTGCTGAACTAGTGAATCAGTGTTTGAATGTTAGCAAAGCACTTGTGTATTTGCCTATGGCTGTGTACTTCAAGGACTAATCTTGCAGCCCAGTATGACCTCAAAATTACTTTGATTTAAAATGCAACAAGTTTAAATCGGAAAGAATTTCTGAAAATCATGAAAGCTACATTCTGCTGGATACAGTTGGACTTGATGATCTGAAAGGTCTTTTCCAACTTAAATAAGTCTGTGATTCTGTAAGAATTTGGGCAGTATTCATTCCTCATTGTTATCATCAAGCTTCTTTGTTGAGTTAACAGTTGCCTAGGTATTATGCTGTCAGACAGGTTTCTTCAACCAGCAGCCCATGAACCAAACATGGCCTGTGCAGCACCTCAGCAGTACTGATAGGAATGGCCTACCTACCCTTGACTACTACAAGACAGAAAGCAGGGAGAACGGACCACTTTTGATATGTTTTGCTCTTTGTCTTGGGCTGAAGTGGGCAGACTGGGCATATAACCTTGCAGAGTTACCACTGTAGTAAAATCTCCAGCATTGGGCAGGGCCCAGGGGCACAGATTGGCACTTGCTCATGAATTTGTTACAAAGGCTCTCAAATAAACATCCAACCACCAAAAATTGAAAAAAAAATGTTATTAACACAAATAACTAGCTCTCCATAAATTACAGGTTCAAATGTCTGTGAGATGAGAGAACAGAACAACTTTCTAGGGTTTAAAGCAACCCAAAACATATAGCAAAGAACTCCATGAGGTTTAATGGCAACCCAAAATGCTCTATTATTCACCTGACAAGTGAGGGCTCTCAACTTCGAGGATCTGCTCAGGGCAGTGTCCTGACCCGGGGGAGAGTCCTTAACCACAGCTGCTGCTCCAGGGGATGAGCTCCAAATGGCTCCATGGTGACTCCATTTATACCCAGGCCAAATCTGACCTGTCGTCAATAGTGGCTCCCATTGGCCAAAGGCCCCAACTACTGTGAGGCCCTGAGACAAAGGAAGCCTCAAGCTGCTACACTTCAGCAGCCAAGAAGCTCTGCTTTCATTGGGCAGATACACCTGCAACAGAATGACAGGTGGAACCAGGGTCCTTGCCACTGCATCTGGAAATCAGAACCTGCAGAAGAGGCAGTCATACCATGATGGGGAATCCGCTGCTACGGACTCTGGGTGGGAGCACAGATAAGAATGAGCCTGCTGATTAAAAGAATTGGTCAGTGTGGTGTCACAAACTCAAAGGATACTGTCCTGGCTCAGTCTGTGCAGAGCTAATCTAGTGCCTAGAGTCCAGAGAGCTTGTTCTCACTTAACTGGAAATGAAATCTCTGAGGTGCACAGCCTGTCTGGTAGGCCTGGTAAAAATTCCTACTAAGCTGATCAAGACTGCCTGCAGACCTTGGCCTTTTATGCTATTTGGCCTCTTTAGATGAAGAAACATATCCTTAACATCTGGTTTCAGCAGGGTACAATTAAGGAATAGCAACTTTCTTCCAAGGATATTTGCCAAAGCATTCTCTAAAGGCTGTCAAACAGTGTGATTCTAATTTTTGATGGAAATTCTTAAGTGTTGCTAGAATACAAATATGAATTGCTGTCACCCCCAATTTTATGAAGAAAAAAACAGAGGTGAAGGCAGTTAAACTCTGACATATCCTCTGAAAGAGGGAACAGAATTGGCAGTCACTGTTGAAAGCTGAAGCTGAAAGCCTTTCATTTATGTATGCATAACAAGAACACAGTCATAAGCTCCATTGACTTAGATGGAAAGAAGAACTCTGTATCTATGGCTATTCTGGACAGTACTGACTGTCTAAGAGTGCAGTCTACTATAACCGTATAATTCATTAGTGTGAGCTGTGATTTGGAAGACTTCCCCTTCTTTCCCTTCCCCTCTTTTCTTTATAGGTCTTAAGTACTGAAATGGCAACTTAAAAAATGTAGTCATCAGAGTGATGTCTTTTCCAGTGTCATAAGGAGAATCAATTAGTACATTTGCATTATGAACTATGGTGTAACATTCAAGACACAGTCACTTTCTTCACTGAAGTGCAATTTACAGTTGTAAAGAGAAACTTAGCTAATATTTAATTAACCAGCAGTTGAATTACTTTGTGCTATGGATAGAAAATCCAGATTCCTACCATTTCAAGAGGGAGAAAAATAATTACTCACAGATGTGGAATAATTTATTTGTTATGTATTGACTAGTGAAACAAAATACCAGCTGCAATTATGCAACCTGAATTCCTTTATTTACAACAGCTGAACAAAACATCTGACAAGAGAGGCGTGGTCTGTATCAATAGCATAAACACTGTCTAGAGTATATGGTTGTAAAGCAACATGTTATTATGAGTTTACTGCAAGATATGTTGTTTATTTAGCACAAGTATATTTGTTTTTATCTGTTATTTAGCTAGAGTTAACATGGTTATTACTTATCAGCTAAAAATAAATTAGTGTTTACAATTCCAGAGTAAAAACATCATGCTAAATGCTAGTTAAGTCTGAGTTGGTTTTAAACTGTTGTTGTAATTAAAAAGGAGTAAAATGTGTACTGTCCTGGAGATAAGAAGCTTTTTCTTTTATGGCTGCCTTTCGTTGTTTCTTTAGTGTCATGATATACCAGGGGTACACGAAGGTCATGGGACTGATTCTTTTGATCAGCAAGGGGAATAATTTTCAGCCTTGAAAGTCATCTCCATTTTTTCTACTTGGTGTGTGCTCTCTATCTCCTGATATGATTTCTATTTAGTTTTGCTTTCTGTTTTGGTTTGGTTTGGTTTGTTTTTTTCTGAGGGAGAAGATGCTACAGTTTCAAAACTTGTCTAAGTTTTTCACTTCGATTTTTCACTCCTTTTAAAAATTATTCAGGATTATTTACGAGACTAAGGGCCTTGTAAATCTGGTGGCAGTGTCAGCATGTGTTGTATACTGATTAACAGTTGTTTCACAACAGAAATAATTAAAAATATTTTAAAATCTACTTTAATGGTTTAGTGATTATACTGACATATGGAGATAAAAATTTTCTCCTGTTATGTTTGGCATATTTAGTTTTGTAATATAAACCTGACAGAGCAGTAACTACAAACTTTGCTACGCAACAAAATGTAACAATATTAAATGAAATGCCCACATTTTGTTTAATATAGCCTCAAGGTGTAGAGAGGCTTTAATGCATTTAGTAAGAGCTCCCTGTATTTGATCTACTTCTGCTTTATAGCTACTCTGTGTGCTGCAGATGAAAACCAGAGATGGTCATCTATATGTCCAGACTAGCAAATTATATGTGAAGATGCTG